GCTAAACCAAGTTCTAAGATTTTATTGTTAATGGTTTTATGGATTCTTATATTTTATGTAGACTCATGTCTTATTGGTTTGATGATTTGTTAATTTCATTCAAAATATCTTCATATTCAATGATTTTAGATACCCTTCATTTTTCGGTTCTTTTGAAGTTTAGTGTAATTGGGATAGAAATTATCTACACTTTTATTCATAAGACACAATTTTCAAAATATCATGGATATTGATTTTTAACAAACAAACCCTTGAATATATTTTTGATGTTGAATTTTCATGGGGTACTACAAAACTTTCAAATTTAATATATCTTAACCGCATGACCGCATATACCACTAACCCTTGAATATATATTTTTGATGTTGAATTTTCTTTGGTTATTTACTTTTGTTTCGGTACAAACTTTTAATTAAATGAGTGAAAAATGTCGTTTCTTTTGGAGTGATGAGGGTGGTGGGGGAGAAGATAGATAAGGAAGACATGGGGGTGGTCATGGGGATAGTGGAAGGTTATGGGGTCATTGAGTAATTGTTGTCTTGCAGATTGTGACAATGCATACATTAATGAACGGATCATTGTCAATAGTGACCCTCTAGCTCAACTTTAGGTTAAAGAATTAATGCCTCCTAGTTTGTGTACATGCCTAAGCCTAATCAATATACATTACTTGTAATTTGTACATTGATGAGAATTTGGATCCTATATCTAAAAGACGAAAAAGTGTAGAAGTTTCTTTTAGCTTTGAGCATAGATTTGAGTCAAATGAAATTAGAAATTATTGAATAACCAAATTCTAATATAATCAAACCAAATTAGAACCATACACCTTAGGATGATGGAATTAATGATATGTATACACACACACACGTAAATAGTAGGCCATATGCATGATACATCTACATCTACTTTGGAGATATTGTAAAAGAAAGCTATAAAATTACATTTGTTTGCATAGATGTAAATACACCTTATTTTAATATTCCAATTTCACTGTTTTAGTCTCAGATGCCATCTTCTCATGCATGTGCATTTTTGAATAGTTTACTCGCTAAACATCCAAATCTGATGAATCACAAACAATGCGTGTACAT